GGTATCTCGCATGTAGCTAAAAAAGTTCGTATGAGCACAGACAACTTTGGCTGCCTCCATTAACCGAGCTCATAGTCACATCAACGCCTCTCGGGCTAAATTTCATCTCAAAAAGGTGCCGGGTAACTCATCATTGATTTCCGAGATGACAGCGTATGATAACTTGAACACCCAGCTTGTGTTACCATTTGCCCGCACGGGCATTCCGACTTGCCACCAGCAGGCCGACAAATTTGCTTACATTTCTCTATGAAATACGCAAGCTGAGCATATGTACATTTACTTTAGCCAATGCTCGGGGCCTCCGGAGACTTGCGGTGTGCCCCGATGAAGCCCGCGGCTGTGGGGCGGATTGCTGAGGCCGCTGGCGCTTCGGGGATAAACATCACAGACAGCACCGAAATTCACCCAGCTTTCGTTACCATTTGCCCGCACAGGCATTCCGACTTGCGGTCTGACACACTGTCCATGCGGCATGCACCCGGGATGGATGCGATTCGCGTGGAGCCCGCAGGCGGTGCTGACGGTTCCGCCGGTGCAAGCTTAGCTCTCACACCATCAGCACTGCTGCAACAAAGCACGTCTCCCACCGCTTTGACACTACCCATCAATTGTCACACGTGCTGCGCTAGCTACCGGCCTGTACGGATGCAGGGGGGCCCGCTTTTTTCCGGCTTCGAGGAAGCCGACACCCGACTTGTCCTTGTTTGGGACCTTGTTTGCTTTTTCTCCATTTTTGGGCGAGGCCCCGGACGCGAAGCGCCATTCGGGGGGCCGAGCCAGGTGTTCACTGCTGTCAGTCAGTCTGTCTGTCAGGGGCTTACATATCTTGCTCCGCAAAAAATAGCGTTGAAAAGCTACATCAATTCTACATCGATTGTCCAAAGGAGGTAATTCAGATAAATCGGAGCGCAAAGATACCTTTCCAGGGTAAGATGAATTTACATATCTCGCTCCGCTAAAGATTGCATGTAAAAGCTACATCAGTTTTCACTGATTGGCCAAAGGAGAACATTCAGCTAAATCGGAGCGCGAAGATAGCCTTCCATGGCTTCGAGTTTGACTTCCCCGCGGCCTTTGCCTCTGACGTCGTTGCATGTCCCTTACATGATAGATTCATAAGCAAACGGCATGATCCTTTATAGGCTGATAACAGATAGCGGAGCAGCTGTGAAGGTCACAAATCCACGTGCCAGGAAGAAGAGCGTGGGTGGTCAAGCGGCAAAGCCAAAGCAGGTACCAAACGGCTACATGTTGTTCACGCAATCACAGAAGGCAGAAGCAGCGGCAGCTGGACAGAGCTCCCTGCCTCATGAGCATACAAAGCAAATCGCCTTGAAGTGGCGGCAGCTGTCACAGCCTGAGAGAGACTACGG